TGTCGACGGATGCATACTCCTCAGTTTCTTCCTCTGAGGCACTGGCCTGGGCCTGGGCACTCAGGAGCAATCCTAAGACAGGGCTTGTGCTCGGAGCCCCAGTTCTGTTCCCTGTCAGTGGGAGTTATTCACGAGGAACTTCCCTCTCTTCTTGCCTGCCACGTTTGCTTGGCTAGGAAGCGGGTGGTAAAGGCCACAGCACAGAAGAGCTGAGAAGAAATGTCGTTGCAATTATGAAGTAATGAATCGTGGAGTGCGTGCCGTGATTCTGCAGGTGGAGAACCTGACTTGTTCCAGATTCACTCAATGAGTGAGGACTCCAACCCCAGCCACTTGATGCATCATTCTATGTTCATCCTTTGTGTGTAAACACACCTGAGTATGATTTATAAAAGAAAGAGTAAGATGGTATCAGGGAGCAAGACTGTGGCAATAAACATCTGGAACTTGTCAGCCCTTAAGATTACATAGGGTGAAGGTATAAAGTTCAGAAAGGGAATTCGGTCAGGAATGGTAAGAGGAATATTGTGTGGAGAGTCAGTATACCTGGGTCCAATCTTTGGCTGAGAGTTCATTTGGAACTCAGTTCCCTGACTTGCCGTGATTCTATATTTTAATCTCTGCAGCAAGTTCTCAGAGGGACTTTGGTAAAGATTAGGGGACATCTCCAGTTTTGCGTCTCCGAGGACTCCTCTCCTGCTTCTTGTCACTCATGTGTTGCTTTAGTGACACTCTGAACACCCAGGGGGGTTACATATTGGTTTGCTCTCTCAGGGAATGGTCATTCCTGTCCTATAGAATCACACTCAGCATGATCTGGGAAAGCAGTGTGGCACTTACAAGTGCAGCTCATTTTCACCACAGGCTGTTGTACCGGCATCATTCCTACTCCTTATCCATGGGCCCTGCCGCCATGTCCATCCTACACACTGCCCTTCCCCAGACTTTGGGGCCTTTGAGGACCTGGATCAGACCCATGCCTTGATGCCTTCCCCACTATAAAGGAGTAACGGAACCTCTACAAGGGTGACCCGGATGTGCCAATCTATTGCTTCCCTTGTGGTTGTGAGTTCTCTCTCTGCTCACTGAAAGGGCAAGTGTGGTTCATGGTCCTCCCTGAGAGGAAGTGTGAAAAGGACTTTTGTGGTAAGTGATGAGCTGACCGTCACTGCCCCTGGGCTGGGGTTGTAACCAGGAAGTGGCCACAGCTGTGCTGTGGAGTTAAGACAAGGGGAACAGTCTACGTGGCTGTGCATCACCACAGGGAACCGGGTCCAATGACACAGAGACATTATCTACGTTGACCTTATAGAGCCATAGCTGGCTCATGTTAGTGGGAAACCTGCATTTTCAGAGGGAAACAGACAGAGTGTTGAAGAAAGAGTATGAGAACCAGACCTCCTCTCTGGCCTTCAGAACTTAAGTAGACAACACAGGCTGACTTGGAATTCACAAACACCTAA